CGACCCCTACCCCGCCTTCCTTCCACTACAGACTGATACACTCTTGAAATTATTCTGTTTCGCTCCATTCTCTCCACATGTCCGAACCACCTCAACAACCCTTCCTCAGCCCTCTGGACAACAGTTTTGGTAGTCCCGCACCTCCTCCTAACTTCCAAACTACGAATTCTCTGCATTATATTCACACCACACATTGCTCTCAGACATGACATCTCCACTGCCTCCAGCCTTCTCCTCGCTGCAACATTCATCACCCATGCTTCACACCCATATAAGAGCGTTGGTAAAACTATACTCTCATACATTCCCCTCTTTGCCTCCAAGGACAAAGTTCTTTGTCTCCACAGACTCCTAAGTGCACCACTCACCCTTTTCCCCTCATCAATTCTATCATTCACCTCATCTTTCATAGACCCATCCGCTGACACGTCCACTCCCAAATATCTGAATACATTCACCTCCTCCATACGCTCTCCCTCCAATCTGATATCCAATCTTTCATCACCTAATCTTTTTGTTATCCTCATAACCTTACTCTTTCCTGTATTCACTTTCAATTTTCTTCTTTTGCACACCCTACCAAATTCATCCACCAATCTCTGCAGCTTCTCTTCAGAATCTCCCAAGACCACAGTGTCATCAGCAAAGAGCAACTGTGACAACTCCCACTTTATGTGTGATTCTTTATCTTTTAACTCCACGCCTCTTGCCAAGACCCTCGCATTTACTTCTCTTACAACCCCATCTATAAATATATTAAACAACCACGGTGACATCACACATCCTTGACTAAGGATTACTTTTACTGGGAAATAATTTCCCTCTTTCCTACATACTCTAACTTGAGCCTCACTATCCTCGTAAAAACTCTTCACTGCTTTCAGTAACCTACCTCCTACACCATACACCTGCAACATCTGCCACATTGCCCCCCTATCCACCCTGTCATACGCCTTTTCCAAATCCATAAATGCCACAAAGACCTCTTTAGCCTTATCTAAATACTGTTCACTTATATGTTTCACTGTAAACACCTGGTCCACACACCCCTACCTTTCCTAAAGCCTCCTTGTTCATCTGCTATCCTATTCTCCGTCTTACTCTTAATTCTTTCAATAATAAGTCTACCATACACTTTGCCAGGTATACTCAACAGACTTATCCCCCTATAATTTTTGCACTCTCTTTTATCCCCTTTGCCTTTATACAAACGAACTATGCATGCTCTCTGCCAATCCCTAGGTACCTTACCCTCTTTCATACATTTATTAAATAATTGCACCAACCACTCCAAAACTATATCCCCACCTGCTTTTAACATTTCTATCTTTATCCCATCAATCCCGGCTCCCTTACCCCCTTTCATTTTACCTACTGCCTCACAAACTTCCCCCACACTCACAACTGGCTCTTCCTCACTCCTACAAGATGTTATTCCTCCTTGTCCTATACACGAAATCACAGCTTCCCTATCTTCATCAACATTTAACAATTCCTCAAAATATTCCCTCCATCTTCCCAATACCTCTAACTCTCCATTTAATAACTCTCCTCTCCTATTTTTAACTGACAAATCCATTTGTTCTCTAGGCTTTCTTAACTTGTTAATCTCACTCCAAAACTTTTTTTTATTTTCAACAAAATTTGTTGATAACATCTCACCCACTCTCTCATTTGCTCTCTTTTTACATTGCTTCACCTCTCTCTTAACCTCTCTCTTTTTCTCCATATACTCTTCCCTCCTTGCATCACTTCTACTTTGTAAAACCTTCTCATATGCTAACTTTTTCTCCCTTACTACTCTCTTTACATCATCATTCCACCAATCGCTCCTCTTCCCTCCCGCACCCACTTTCCTGTAACCACAAACTTCTGCTGAACACTCTAACACTACATTTTTAAACCTACCCCATACCTCTTCGACCCCATTGCCTATGCTCTCATTAGCCCATCTATCCTCCAATAGCTGTTTATATCTTACCCTAACTGCCTCCTCTTTTAGTTTATAAACCTTCACCTCTGTCTTCCCTGATGCTTCTATTCTCCTTGTATCCCATCTACCTTTTACTCTCAGTGTAGCTACAACTAGAAAGTGATCTGATATATCTGTGGCCCCTCTATAAACATGTACATCCTGAAGTCTACTCAACAGTCTTTTATCTACCAATACATAATCCAACAAACTACTGTCATTTCGCCCTACATCATATCTTGTATACTTATTTATCCTCTTTTTCTTAAAATATGTATTACCTATAACTAAACCCCTTTCTATACAAAGTTCAATCAAAGGGCTCCCATTATCATTTACACCTGGTACCCCAAGTTACCTACCACACCCTCTTAAAGTTTCTCCTACTTTAGCATTCAGGTCCCCTACCACAATTACTCTCTCACTTGGTTCAAAGGCTCCTATACATTCACTTAACATCTCCCAAAATCTCTCTCTCTCCTCTGCATTCCTCTCTTCTCCAGGTGCATACACGCTTATTATGACCAACTTCTCGCATCCAACCTTTACTTTAATCCACATAATTCTTGAATTTACACATTCATATTCTCTTTTCTCCTTCCATAACTGATCATTCAACATTACTGCTACCCCTTCCTTTGCTCTAACTCTCTCAGATACTCGAGATTTAATCCCATTTATTTCCCCCCACCGAAACTCCCCTACCCCCTTCAGCTTTGTTTCGCTTAGGGCCAGGACATCCAACTTCTTTTCATTCATAACATCAGCAATGATCTGTTTCTTGGTTATCCGCACTACATCCACGCACATTTAAGCATCCCAGTTTTATAAAGTTTTCTTCTTCTCTTTTTTAGTAAATGTCTACAGGAGAAGGGGTTACTAGCCCATTGCTCCCGGCATTTTATATATACATATATATATATATATATATATATATATATATATATATATATATATATATATATATATATATATATATATATATATATATATATATATATATATATATATATATATATGCAAGGAATTCGCAAGAGCAGGCGAAATATGCACAAACACTGATCTTTGGCTGAAGGAGACTCGAACCTACGAACCTTGGAAAAAGGTATGCAGTGCTATACCAATCTACCCACACTGGAAAATACCTTGGCGTGCAGCTTGCGCCACACGTTGATCCGAGGCAGCCAGCTTTCAGGGAGAAGGATTACAGCTTTTCATCTCATCCCCTGCATGCATCAGCCTTACTAGAGATTTTAACAATGCAAGGAATTTGCAAGAGCAGGCGAAATATACACAAACACTGATCTCTGGCTGAAGGAGACTCGAACCTACGAACCTTGGAACAAGGTACGCAATGCTATACCAATCTACCCACACTGGACAATACCTTGGCGTGCAGCTTGCGCTACACGTTGACTCAAGGCAACCAGCTTTCAGGGAGAAGGCTTACAGCTTTTCATCTCATCCCCTACATGCATCAGCCTTACTAGAGATTTTAACAATGCAAGGAATTAGCAAGAGCAGGCAAAATATACACAATCACTGATCTCTGGCTGAAGGAAACTCGAACCTACGAACCTTGGAACAAGGTAAGCAATGCTATACCAATCTACCCACACTGGACAATACCTTGGCGTGCAGCTTGCGCTACACGTTGATCCAAGGCAGCCAGCCTTCAGGGAGAAGGCTTACAGCTTTTCATCTCATCCCCTGCATGCATCAGCCTTACTAGAGATTTTAACAATGCAAGGAATTCGCAAGAGCAGGCGAAATATACACAAACACTGATTCGTAGGTTCGAGTCTGGATCAAACGTGTAGCGGATGCTACACGCCAAGGTATTGTCCAGTGTGGGTAGATTGGTAAAGCACTGCGTACCTTGTCCTTAGGTTCGTAGGTTCGAGTGTCCTTCAGCCAGAGATCAGTGTTTGTGTATATTTCGCATGCTCTCGCGAATTCCTTGCATTGTTCAAATCTCTAGTAAGGCTGATGCATGCAGGGGATGAGATGAAAAGCTGTAAGCCTTCTCCCTGAAAGCTGGCTGCCTTGGATCAAACGTGTAGCGGATGCTACACGCCAAGGTATTGTCCAGTGTGGGTAGATTGGTAAAGCACTGCGTACCTTGTCCTAAGGTTCGTAGGTTCGAGTCTCCTTCAGCCAGAGATCAGTGTTTGTGTATATTTCGCATGCTCTCGCGAATTCCTTGCATTGTTCAAATCTCTAGTAAGGCTGATGCATGCAGGGGATGAGATGAAAAGCTGTAAGCCTTCTCCCTGAAAGCTGGCTGCCTTGGATCAAACGTGTAGCGGATGCTACACGCCAAGGTATTGTCCAGTGTGGGTAGATTGGTAAAGCACTGCGTACCTTGTCCTAAGGTTCGTGGTTTCGAGCTCCTTAGCCAGAGTCAGAGACAGCGTGCGGAGCGTGTTTAATAGAGTGAAGGGAGACGGTATTGGGGACCTGACATCTTTTGGGAGTGTGAGCAGGTAATATTTAGTGAAGGGGATTCGGGGAAACCGGTTATTTTATATAGTCGGACTTTCCTGGAAATGGAATAAATGCCTGACTTTAAGGGGGGGTTTTGGGATATTGGCAGTTTGGAGGGATATGTTGTGTTCTTTTTTGTGTAGCTTCTAACTGTTGTATTCTGAGCACCCTGCAAAAAAGTGTAATTCGGTGGGGAAAGTGTTGAATATGATAAAAGTATTTTTTTTTGGGATTTTCTTCTTTTTGGGCCCCCTCCTGGGGGGGAGACGGCCGATTGGGTTGAAAAAAAAAAAAAAAAAAAAAAAAAAAAAAATATATATATATAAATATATAATATATAATATATAAAAATATAAATATTATATATATATATATATATATATATATAAATATATATATATATATTTTTTATATATATTATATTAAAGAATATGAGGAAAGTCCCAAAATTGTCAGTTTAGTGACTGATTCGGGGGTCACAAAAAAAAACAACATCGAACCTGTAGCCCTTTCAATTAGTCGTTTTGATCTCTTTTTCGAGTTCAGGGACCTTTGTTTACTTCCTGTAAGGGAGCGGGGATTACTTCCCCTTTCCACGCCCAGGATCCCAGTCTATACGTGAGTATTTCCCCTTTTTTTCCCTGCTAGTAAAAAATTAAAAACTATATGTATTTGTGAGGCTGCGAAACCCAGAAAGCTTCCCTGTTTTATAATAAAAATTTTCCTTTTACTTTAAGAACGCAATAAGAACATGCAGATGGGGGCTATGTTGTAAATTTAGTGTTGAAGATATGTAATCAAAGAGGGATTTTCAAGTTATCAATAGAAATTAAATCCAATTTTTTCAACAAAAAAGCCAAACTAAATTTTCGGAACAAAACTAATTTAAATCTTTCCCCTAAAAAACACCTTAAAGAAAACTTAATCAAACTGAAAAAAAGGGTATATTTTACTCAGAGACCATATATTAAACAACCATCCATAAGTTTTGGGAAACCCCTCAAAGTGCTTTATCAAATTTTTCTTTGTTATGCCATTCGGGTTTGGAATTCCCAAATTTTCCCGGAATCTAATTAAAAATTTTCCATTTTCCTATAAATAGTCGGCATAATGGGGCCCTTTACAGCCCCAAATCAAACCAAACTTTTTCCTAATAAGATTTTACCGTGTTTAAGGTCTAATTAAAAAATTAAAAATATTATATTAAGGGGTTTTGTACAAACATATAAATTTTTAATAGGTTTAGATGCACACCCACGTTATGATAAAAAAAAAAATATGTAAATTTAACCCATAAAAAACACAGTAAATTAAACACTATGAAATATTTCTGATCAGAAGATACACTTTCCAGTTATTTCCAATCACAGCTTAAACCAAAAATAAGTTATATTGCTTTCAAAAAGATTCAAAGATTGATACTGTTCAGAAAAGTTATGCTCCGGCTAATAAACTGAAAATGAAAATATATCAATTTGTAATTAAAATCTGAAAAATCCATGTAAAAACACCTCCCTTACAATATAATACTTTTAGTTCACCAGGGTTGAAAATATGAAGCCGATCAGATAAGGTGTCTTGAAGTTATAAACGAAAGACTTGGAATGAAATTGTAGGAAATTAAATATATTTCAGTTGCAAGATGATTTTATAATCCTTTGATTTTAAAATAATAATAAAATAATAATAATAATAATAATAAATAATAATAATAAAATAATAATATAAAATATTTTTTTTTACTACAAGAAGAACAAGGCATAAAAAGTTTTTTCGGGTAAATTAGGTCATTTTGCCCCAGGATGCGACCCCCACCAGTTCACAAAACCCCAGGACCTATTTTACTGATGGGAACATAGACAACCGGTGTAAGGAAACACGTAAAATTTTTCTCACCGTCCCGGAACGAACCCAAAATCAAGGTGAAGTTTTTCTTGAGAAAAACAAATAACACAAGGTATGAAGCCGACTAATAAAATATATTTTGTTTTCGATATTTTCAAAATGATTTTTGCGAAAGTATTGCTACACAAATTTTCGCTTTGTCTTTTTCGGCAAGAGGGCCCCCTTGCTTTTTAAAGCCAAGATTGAAAGTTTTAATTTGGGCACAACTTTTATATATATTATATATAAAATATATTATATATATATATATATAAAATATTATATATATTAATATATAATATATATATATATATAATATATATATATAATATAATATATAACATGCAAAACAACTACTGTGAAAGGATAGTGAAATTCCAAGCGTTTTCGTGACTTCTCACATTATCAAGGGACTATAAAGACAATACATCAAAGGAAGGCATATAAAGGATCGAGATCACACCTCACCATCACGTCCCACAACAAAGCAACACCTGACTCAAAAGAAAAGAGGAACACAGCAGCAGGCCTGTTGACCCAACTAGGCAGGTCCTTCACGACATCCCACCAACAAATAAAAATCTTATTTCTTGGGTAGAGTACTAGGGTTGGGCAAAAATATTTTGTTAGTGGTATGTCATGAAGGACCTGCCTAGTTGGGTCAACAGACCTGCTGCAGTGTTCCTCCTTTCTTTTGAGTCGGGTGTCGTCACGCGTCAGGTGTTGCTTTGTTGTGGGACGTGATGGTGAGGTGTAGTCTCGACCCTTTATATGCCTTCCTTTGATGTATTGTTTTTATAGTTCCTTGATAATGTGAGAAGTCACGAAAGCGCTTGGAATTTCACTATTCTTTCACAGTGAATGTTTTGCATATTCTGATATCACCTGTTTACTGTGTCTTATATATATATATATATATATATATATATATATATATATATATAATATATATATATATATATATATATATATATATATATATATATTATATATTTATATATATAAGAGAAAAACTAAATAAACTATTTTTAAGGCACTTTTGATTGTCTGGCCGACAATGGCTTGTATATCACAATGCAATATTAGGGTACAGTGAAAGTTGCTGTTAAGTGATAAAAACTAATCTAAATAAAAATTCGCTTTCTGCTCTCTTGTGTAACTTATTCCCATATGTAACCTAAGTCCATATTGTTTTCACAGGTACCTGATGACCCATCGTGATGCCAACTCACCAACATACGCTGCTCCCCTGCATCAACTAGCTGATGGTAGAGGCATCAAGAGTCGTGCTATCTACTCTGGCATCTCCCATGGTGACGACCTTGCTCTCCTCTTCTCACTGCCTTTTAATTTGGGGCAGCCAGGGCCCAGAGATCTTCAAATATCTGCCCTCCTTACCTTCATGTGGGCCACCTTCATGTACACCGGGTCAGTAGTGAATGGCATTACATTATATTAAAAAAAAAAAAACCTACAACGGAGCCCCGAATTTGTATCTCTCTGAGTGGATGCCAAAATTATTTTTTTCTTTCTCCAGCTATTATATCGCTTAACACGAGATTGCCGCAGCCAATCAGTTTAAAATTTTAAACGGCTGAGTACAGTAACCAGGCTGAAGTTTTATGAGTAATTGTTATGTACAAAACCCTATGACTGAAGTTGTAGGACCCATTCCCAGTGTTCTTGAATGGCTCCGTTAACATTCAAATCTTTTAGCAGTATAGTTTCAAACGTTCGAAGATGCTTCTTAATTGAAGAATGAGTTAAGAAGAAAATGAAAGTCATGTGTACATTTGCACATCTGTTTCATTTATGCATAAAATAAGCTAAAATTTGATTCCCGTAATCACGTTAAATATATTTGTGTCAACCTCTGCTGAATAGCTTAAATATTAAGCTGCTGATGCATCTTACGGTCAGGACAGCACCAGTTAAGTGTAGCTAGTGTCCGGGGAAAATTGTCAGAGCACTAAATTGTTTTATGAAGCTTGGAATGACTGTAATCAGCGCAATACGTGAAAAAAAGCCTCATCTGAACTGCCTAAATTTTTCAGTCATTGTTTGTTGTCCAGGAAGGAAGGTTCATATTGTTATTGGGATGCTTGTCCCAGTATCCTAATTTTATTAAATAAATAGGGATACTGAGTTCCATTAAAGCACAAAAGAATGTCTCATCTTAACAGCTTCTAAATCTAGACGTTGATGCCGTCCATAACACGGAGTACACACAAGTTAGGTTATTCAGATGCATTTTTTAAATTTTGATTAAGTTGTTAAAATACTTGTAATTCAGAGGAATTACTAGACAGGCTTTAAACTTCGGGTTAGTGGACTTTATTAAAAAAAAATTTGACTTTCGCTTTGAGCTTAGTATATTTTAAATTGTCATCTTTATTAAATATATTGGTTTTCCTGTAATAACTAGAGAATGTCTCTTCTGGACCGAGGTTGTGAAACTGGATGATACCTTCCCCCGGTCGTCTAGTCATCGGAATTCCTCTAATTTACTATCGTATTCCAGAGAAAACACTAATGTGTTAAGGTCAAACAGCATCTGGGGTCGTGCCACTTACAGAGTCATACATCATCCAGGGTCATACTGCATGCAGGGGTCATACTGCGTGCAGGGGTCATACTGCGTGCAGGGGTCATACTGCGTGCAGGGGTCATACTGCGTGCAGGGGTCATACTGCGTGCAGGGGTCATACTGCATGCAGGGGCCATACTGCGTGCAGGGATCATACTGCATGCAGGGGTCATACTAACATGCAGGGGTCATACTGCATGCAGGGGTCATACTAACATGCAGGGGTCATACTGCATGCAGGGGTCTACGCGTGCGGGGTATAATGCGGCAGGGGCCATATGGTGAGGGGTTACTGTTGCAGGGGTCTTTCGCGTGCAGGGTCATACTGCGTGCGGGGGTCATCGCATGCGGGGGTCTACAAACATGCGGGGGTCATACTGCATGCGGGGGTCATACGCATGCGGGGTCATACTAAATCGGGGGTTTATTTTGCATGAGGGGTCATACTCTTTGCGGGGTATACTGCGTGTGGGATCATACTGTTGTAGGGGTCATACTGCGTGCAGGGGGGTCTACTGGTGTAGGGGTCATATGCATACAGGGGGTTATACTGCATGAGGGGTCAACTGCTGTGGGGTATACTGAAAAGGGGGGGTCATACTGCATGCAGGGGTATTACTGCATGCAGGGGTCAAAAAACATGCAGGGGTCATAGCCGCAGGGGCATACTGCGTGCGGGGTCATACGGTGCGGGGGTCATACTGGTGGGGGGTCATACTGCGTGTGGGGGTTTCATACTGGTGTAGGGGTCTACTGCATTGGGGTATACTGCGTGCGGGGGGTCAAACTGGTGTAGGGATCAACTGTGGGGGGTCATCTGCGTGCAGGGTTCATACTGCATGCAGGGGTCTACTGCGTGCAGGGGCATGCTGCATGCAGGGGTCATACGCATGCGGGGGTCTTTACTGATGCAGGGGTCATATGCATGAGGGGTATACACATGCAGGGGTCATACTGCATGCGGGGTCATACTGCATGCGGGGTCATACTGCTGCAGGGGTAAATTACTGCTGCGGGGGTCATACTCATGAGGGGTTACTGCTGCGGGGTCATACTGCTGCAGGGGTATACTGTATGCAGGGGTTGTGCATGCAGGGGTCATACTGCTGCAGGGGTCTACTGCGGGGGCGGGGGTCTACGCGTGCAGGTGTCAACTGCGTGAAGGGGTCTACTGCGCTTGGGGTCATATGCATGAGGGTCATACTGCGTGCGGGGGCCCTGCTGATGCGGGTTCTACTGCATGCAGGGGTCATACTGTATGCAGGGGTCATACGCATGCAGGGGCTTTACTACATGGGGGGTCTTACTGCATGCAGGGTTATACGCATCAGGGGTATACTGCATGCAGGGGTCTTTCGCATGCTGGGGTCTACTGAATGCAGGGGTCATACTGCATGCAGGGGTTACTGCTGCAGGGGCATTCTGCATGAAAGGGGGCATTTGCATGCAGGGGTCTTACTGCATGCAGGGTCATACTGCTGCGGGTCATACTGCATGCTGGGGGTTATTGATCAGGGATCATACTGCATGCAGGGGTCATACTCATGCAGGGGTCATACAACAGCGGGGGTCATACGGGGGTGCGGGGTTATACTGATGCAGGGGTCATATATATGCGGGCCCCAAATCTGCAACAAAAAATCATCCCTACGAAAGTAAAAGACTGTGCAGGCGATGCAAAATCCCCCCAATAAAAAGTGGGGCGCCTTGGACACAAAAGGGAAAAACCAAAAGTGTCCGGGGCTCAAAACTGTTCACGCCTCCCATCAAACATTAGGGGAAAATTTACAATAACCCCCGGCTGCCTTCAAGAGAGAGTGGGCAGATACCAAAGTCAGTGCCGGGTAGGGGGCTGTGGCTCGTACATTTGGGCTGCGTGCGGCCGCGAACACCTTGTTGATCAGGCCCCGACCTCGGGGGGGCCCCGGTCATGGGGCCGGGCGCGGGGGGTGATCCCCCCGGGAATAACCCCCAGGTAACCTCCTGGGTCATCAACATGCGGGGTCTACTGGGGGAGGGGTCATACTGCGTGCAGGGGCATTGAAAGTACAAGGGTCATAAATACATGCGGGGGCATACTGCATGCAGGGGGCTTCTGCTGCGGGGTCAAAATGCAGGGGCATTTGGGGGGTTTCAGGGGTCATGGGAAAATACAAGGGTCTACGCATGCGGGGTCATACGCATGCAGAGGCGTACTGATGCAAGGGTATACTGCATGCGGTGTCATATGCATGCAGGGGTATTTTGCATGCAGGGGTCATTTTAAATACAAGGGGCTACGCATGCAGGGGTCATACAAAGGAGGGGGTTTAAAAAATTGTTTGGGCTGACCTACTCATCAGTCAGTAAATCCCCATTTTCCCGATGATCCCCTTCATATACCCCTCAGGTAATCACTTCTCATGCTCTTCCTCCTCCCGACTCTCCTCTCCCTTTAATTGTAAAATTCCGTGAATCAAAACTTTTTTCTAACTGAGGTTGTACAAATTTTTTTTATCAAAAAATTTTCAAATCTTTCTTTACTAAGAGAATGATATGAATAATTTCTCCCTTCCGGGATTTAATTTTTATCTCCCCATCTCTGGGAAAAGTAGTTCCCTGGAAGCAGGAAGCGTGACCCTGGAATATGTGCATCCCAGAAAATGTATAAATTAAAAAACACCCACCAAAAAAAACTATTTTTCCAACCAAAAGCGAAATGTACAAATTCTAAATTTGGGGAACCTGTAAGCATGGAATATCATTAAAAGCAAATGGGACATGCAACTCTGAGCATCCCAAAAAATGTCGTGATCTCCTGGCTAAAGGAGTGTGTCGTTCTCCCACCTGTAAATTCTTTCACCTAGAAATGTGCCACTCTTCTGTCCTCCAAAAACAGTGCTACAACACCTGCTGCCCTGCATACCATCTAAAAGGAACCAGAAGGTACAGACGTCTTAAGACAAACAGTAGTTACGACAACCCCACTCCAAGTGATTTTTTTAGTGGCAGGAAACGAAGAAAGAGAATGGAAGGAAATAACAAAAATAGTCCACCACACTGGAGCCTTGTTGGACCGGAGGAACAGCCAGTGGCCCTCCAGAACCACAACTACTGATGCCAATAACAAAATCTCCCATACAAACACAGAATATAACCTCGTTTATATTTGCTAATATACAGGAGCTACACAACAAAATACCTTTTATCAGTAGACTTCTATAGGAGTCAAATGCGATGTTTGCAGCCTTCACAGAGACCCACACAAAAGATAACTTTGACAACGAAATATGGATAAATTGGTACAACCTTTTTAGATGCGACAGAAAGAACAGGCAACAAGGGGGATGGGGGGGTTGGCCTGTATGTCAGAGAGTCGCTAATCTGTACGGAGCTGAACGCTGCAAATGATGTAGTTGAAGTTCTAACAATAAAGATCGAGAACCGTAACCTAGTCATCGTGGCTGTATATAAGGCACCAGATGGAACCTCCCAACAGTTCAAGGAACAGATACTGAAAATTGATTGCTGTTTGGAAAGTCTTCCAGTTCCATCTCCAAACATCTTTCTGCTTGGTGATTTCAACCTAAGGCATATAAAATATAGCAAATAATGTTATAACAGAAACAATCCCTGGAGGCAGCGCAGTTGAAAGGTCACACACATATGAGCTACTAAACACACCCGAATTCAGCAGATTGTGGAACCAACAAGAATGGAAAACATACTTGACCTTATTTTCACAATAACGAGGACCTGGTAAGAAACATAAAAATATCAAAAGCAACTAATTCCGATCACAATCTAATCGAAGTTCAGGCTTACATGCACAGGAATCCTGATCAGCAAAATGCACGTAGCT